AAGCCTATATGCAATGTACTTTTATGAAATAAAGCTACAAAATGGGTACATGAAATGCACCTAACAGGGCCCGAATCTCCTAGACAACGGAGTGTGGGCGGGCCCGAATCTCCTAGACAGTGGAGTGTGGGCGGGCCCGAATCTCCTAGACAGTGGAGTGTGGGCGGGGCCTGAATCTCCTAGACAGCGGAGTGTGGGCGGGACCCGAATCTCCTAGACAGCGGAGTGTGGACGAGGCCCGAATCTCCTACACAGCGGAGTGTGGGCGGGGCCCGAATCTCCATGAGAGTGGGCGGGGCCCGTATCTCCTAGTTGCATGTTATGTGTATGGTATGTGGTAGTTTGGGGAGACTCACTAAGCTTCGTGCTTACAGTTTTTAGTTTTGGTTTCAGATACTTTGGTTTTCAAAAGAGGAGTTCGGGATGATTGCAGTGCACACACCATTTGTTTAGCCTGGGATGTTTTCACTCTGATATATGTTGATATGAATTTTGATGAGAAACCCTATTTGATACTATGATTTATGTTTTGTTATGAAATGTGTCGAATAGTTATGGTTATTTAATAATTAAAAATGAAATTTTTGGACTGTATTTTTTGTGATGTTTCAACTAATCATATATTTTTATGTAGTCTTAGAACATTTTAAAAGTTTTAAGCTAATTTAACACTCACAGCTACAACTTTTATCTTTCGATGTCTGCTACAAGCTATCAATTTTTAGCTAATTTTGTCAAAATCTCCTCAACGAACCGAGAATATGAACCAAAACTTTGCATGAACCATCGATCTTAAAAGTTAAAAATGAAAAGGAATGGACGGAATCTATTTAAAGTATCTAATCACAGGACAAGGAATTTATTTTGATATCCCTTAAATTTAGATTCACCCGCCACCCCACCTCTTTCCTTTCTCCCTGAAAAATCTCAAATCCCAATTCCGACTCCGACTCCGACTCCCACGGCCGGTGTTTCAAATCCGACAACAGAATCGGTGGATGCCACAAACTCTTCTTAAATCACATTCCCATTTCCTCCATTCACGGAACCCACAATTCCTCCTCCACAGATACACTTTCTAATCCATATCGATTGATATATGTTTATCTATCTATGTACGACGACGAGGAAGAACCCCTTTGATCGCCAAGACGATTTGATTCGAAAGAGAAAAATAGCCCCTTTCTATCGCTGTGTGTGTTTTCGGAGCAAATGTTATGCAACCCAGGATCAACCCACATGATCTTACCCGTCTCATCTGGTTTGGATTTGGTATTTTCCATACTTGTATTGAAGGTAACAATTCATACAATTCCGTTTCAATTTCAATACTGGAATTGAAGTCCATCTTACCTTTAATTTGTTAGCGACATTGAACTAAATCCCATGGCGACATTGGAGGTGAAGCTTATACAAGCACACGCTCTGACTAATAAAGATCTTATTGGGAAATCTGATCCATTTGCCAAGATGTATATAGGCCCTGAGCGTGGTAAAACACAATCCAGCAAAGTTATTGTGAGTTTTCTCTATTCTTCAATGTATGTCTTTAAAGAACAAAAATGGATTTGTTCTGATTATTTTCTATTCAGGACAATGATTTGAATCCCATTTGGAATGAACATTTCGAGTTTGTAGTTGAAGATACTTCCACCCAACACTTGGCAGTAGAAATATATGATGATGATGGGCTTCAAGCTTCAGAATTCATTGGTTGTGCTCAAGTAAAGCTCAGTGAACTCGAGCCTGGTCAAGTGAAGGATGTGTGGTTAAAGTTGGTAGAAAATTTGGAGGACCCTAAAGAAAATGAAGACCAAGGGATGGTGAGAAGTCTAAGGCCTTTTTTTTTAATGTTAGGTTATGCATTTTTTGTCCCATTAATGTCAATAAGTCAAAAAAATGCATTTTTTGTCCTATTAGGTTTTGTAGTTTTTGTCTCATCCATATCGGTCATTGTCTAATGCAAACCAAATATAATACAACTTGTTGTGTTATGTCGTGTGTAACATGCAAGACCTAATACAAAGTTTTTATTTATTTGGTGTAGGTGCGATTGGAGATATTATATTGCCCAAATGGTGTGAGAGCAATGTTTCTTAAAGATGGTGAACATAGTGAGGTAGTCGAGAAGAAAAAAAGATTGCTTATAAGAGGAGTGTTATCCGTGACAGTAATATCTGCTGAAGACTTACCACCTGCAGATTTATCGGGGAAAGCCGATCCTTTTGTGGTACTCACTATGAGGAAAACCCTAACCAAGCACAAGACCACTGTATGCTCAAATCTCTAGCGTTGTTGTATGCTTTTTTCTTAAGAAAAGAATTAAATGCAAGAAATAGCAAAAACGTACTTTCGTTGATTTGTTTATTATATTATCATTCTTGATTTGTAGGTCGTATATCAAAATTTGAATCCAAGTTGGGGTGAGACTTTTGACTTTGTTGTTGAGGATGGTTTACGCGATATGCTTATTGCCAACATATGGGACCATGACACATTTGGGAAGGTATGTACAAAATTTTCATACATGGTGATAATTTTCTTACTTATCAGGACAAATAACGGAACAAAGTAAACTTTTATATGATATCCAATAAACGGGGTATAATTACATAGGGACCAAAACTGTAATTTATGAATTTAGAGGGACATACTCGTCGCTCTTGGTTAGTCCCTGCAAATTGTATTTTTTTTTGTGTGGTTTGCAGGACTTCATGGGCAGATGTATTTTGACACTAACAAGAGTTTTACTAGAAGGAGAATACAAAGACAGTTTTCAAGTTGAGAATGCCAAATCTGGAAAACTTGACTTAAATCTCAAATGGTCAGCCCAGCCAATAAATCGCAAATCTTAGCGATTTTACATTTGTCGAATTGCTTGACTATCAAAACTTATATTCAATAAGTCATCGGGGTACTGAATGTTATAAAATATTTATGTGAATACTGTTCAATAGATTTACTGCAAAATTACGTCAGGTCTAATACAATTAGTAAGATACATAAAAGCTCCTATTGTGTCTAGGTATGATACTTTTGGACCAAAAACTTTTCCATTTTCCCCACTAGGGTGAATGGATCATTGCCAATGTTTAGTGATCTAGCAACCTTTGGAGTATTTGAAGGATTGGTTTTGTCCGTATTGAAACGTTTCAAGATTCTTTCGGTATAATTTCATTAATGTACAAATATTCAACAAGCATATGCGCAATTTATAAACCAAGACAATATTTTGTTCTTCAAATTCTTTCATTAAAAGATTAATAACATCATTGATTTCTTTATTCATTCCCATATTGTTCGGATCATCAAAATAGACAACTATAATCGTATAACCGAATTTTTTTCCTTAATGAAGACGCATGAGCAAGTAATATCATTTGCATATACTTCGCTTGTCAAGTATTCACATAAAGGATTATACCATATGTTCGATTTGTTTTAACCTATACAAAGATTTTTGTAATTTGATTGAATACATTTAATTCTTGGGTTTTGTACTTAATGTTTCAGACATTTTGATCCGTAGGGGTCTCATATAGAAGTGATCGATAACTGTTGTAACATCCATAATAGGAATCTCTAAATTTTGGAGATTGCTAAACTGATAAAGTACCTAAAGCAATTGCATGATTGCATCTACATGAAAATATATTTCCTCATAATCAAATTCAGGTCATTGAGAGAAACCTTCCTTTGTATCTCAAAATTTTATTTTTTTCATTTCTTTTTTTTTTGTATATAAATCCATCTATACGTTAATGGTTTCTCAACTATAGCTGTGAAAATAATTAGTCCAAAAACCTAACATGAGAGAAGTTAATTCAATTAACTTCCATATCCTTTATCACATGTAGCATGATATTTCGTTTATATTTTCCAATTTATTTTGATTCCATAGTACTTTTGTATGACCATAACTGTTTGTAATCTCCTAATCAACATAATTTATTTTCTTCCATGAGGAAGTTATATTTTGTGTTTCTCTAAAGGATACTTTCTTCTAGATCAAATGTATTTTCTAGTTTCTATTAGGAATGTTCAAAATATCTGAAAACCGAAAAACCGATAAACGTATCAATTTCCAGATTAACTAGTTTCTTTTTTTTTCAAATTAGGTTTAGGTTCAAAAAAAATAAACGAACCGATAGTTTTGGTTACTCTTTCGAATGGTATTTCAGTTTGGTTAACCGTACTTGAACACTCCGATTCTCTACTCCTTTTCTTATGTTAGGAATTTGTATACTTAGAACCCGAATTAACATTCCATATTTCACATATATTTTAAACTTTTGAGTGACTTCATTATCATAATTTCAATTCAAGTTGAAATTGCCAATCATTTGTATCAATAAATGATTTACAATTTCTTATAAATACGTTATTCTTGGAACTTCCCCCTCACGTTATTATCAATACAAACAACTGCATTAATAATAGTAACTAAAAATGGTATTAAATCACAAAAAATGATCAAAACGTTTAATATCAATTTGTGGGTGTTACATTACATTGATTTTCTAACCCTTTTCGTCCCCATAAAGCCTTTTTAATGTTTTTTCGTCCCCCACGTTTGGTGCAAATAAGATTTTGTGGTTGCTGGGTGACTTATCCTAAAAATGAAAACAAAAGGGGGGAAGAAAGAAAAAGACAAGAAAATCACAAGGGCATCATCATGTCATCTTCAACTTCTTCTCAACAATCACGCCTCCCAATTGCACAATCGGACGCTGTTCTTACCAAATTCGTCTTCGCTATCAACCAAAGATAGATCCCCACGCGTCTCTTTCTCTCTCCGTAACCCTATCCAGCTTTTAGGGCGCAAATTGTTTCTGAATTTGTTTCAACTCGCATCGTTGCATCACAAACGCACAAAGCTTCATCTGTTAGTGTTGTTTCTTCTTGTAATTTGGGTTTTCAACTTCTACACCCGGTTTCTAGGGTTCTAATCCTCCCGGAGCTGTTTGGTTCGCTTAATTTCAGTCGAAAACGGTCGACTATGGACGATTGTAATCGGTACCGGTGATTTCGTGCTACCTGAGCTCAGTTCAGAAGCTATAGAGGACGAATCGAATTCATTCAGGTATCAATTCATTACATCGATTATTTTTGTTTACCGATTGCATTGAACTAACAAATAAAAATATCTTCTTTTTTTCGTGTTTCTGTATATTATGTGTTTATCCGTGAATTGTGTTTTATCGAGTTGATTAGATGTGATTTCGTTCGTATTAAGATTTATGATAATTCCTTGATTCTTCAAGAAGTGATGCATTTTGTGGAATGAATACTTGCCTGCAAAATCCTAAAATATCAGTGACTATAGTGGAACTTTATCTCAAATCGCTTGTCTTAGATTGGTAGCAAACTAGTGAACATGGAAAGCGTTAGGATATGAAGTTTAGGAAATGCAGTGGTGATTAACTGAATCAATTTGGATTCTTAATCCATGGTTGATGTTAAGTAATGAAACCCTAGAATTCATGATTCATTCCCTTTGATATCTACAGAAAATCAAGATGTCTATAGTTGTTTTATTGTGTTTTCAGGAATCATCATGATGAGCATTAAAGATTGGGTTTTATCACAGCTAGTTTCAAACTCATTGGCCACAACAAGACCATTATCAGGAAGTGACAGTTTCTTTGAAGAACGCCCTACTAACGAGTTCAACATTCATGGTATGACTCGTCTCCATTTCCTTCATATTATTTTGAACATATTTTAAATGCGCCTTTATGCAAAGCAACAAATTAGTTACCTGTTTAACCAATTGAAACATGGATGCATTTAAGAACCCCTCTTTGCTGTTCACTTCTCAGGTTCCACTCAAACCGCCACCTCGCCACCACCAGAGGCGGTGGCAGATGTATCACAGCCGCCCATTCCCAACCAAGAAACCCCACTTCCTACCCCTCTCCGGCCACCCACTTTTGAGAGTTCCCATCAACCTCAAACTCTTCAAAAAAACATGAATCCATTGGAAAAGATCGAAAAGCTTCAAATCAAATTCTTGCGTGTTCTTCATCATCTTGGCCACTCAACAAACGATCTCATGGTAGCCAAAGTTTTATACCGTATACACTTAGCAACTTTGATTCGTACACAAGAATCTGATCTCAAAAAAGTCAATCTCAACAGTGATAGAGCTAAAGCTATAGCAATACAACAAGAAACATCCGGTCAACCGGAATTAGATTTCTCATTTTCAATTCTAGTGTTAGGTAAAACCGGAATCGGAAAGAGTTCAACCATCAATTCCATACTTAATGAACCAAAAGCCCGGACAAACGCATTCCGACCTGCCACCGATCGTGTCCAGGAGATCTCCGGAATTGTCAACGGAATCAAGATTTCTTTCATTGATACCCCTGGTTTGTTGCCTCCATCACCAAATACCATTGGAAGAAACCGAAAGATTCTTCAAAAAATCAAGAAACGTTGCCGAAAATACCCTCCAGATATGGTTTTGTACTTCGAACGGCTGGATGTACTTAACATCGGTTACAGTGATTTCCCATTACTAAAACTTGTAACCGAAGTTTTCGGGAATGGAATTTGGTTCAACACGATGCTTGTAATGACGCATTCGTCCTCACCTCTTCCAGAAGGTTCTAACGGGTACCCTGTAACTTATGAATCTTATCTTACTCAATGCATGAATCTTATACAGCATTACATTCACCAGACGATTTCCGATTCGAAACTTGAAACCCCGGTTCTTTTTGTTGAAAATCATCCAGATTGTAAAGACAAGATTCTTCCAAATGGTCAAAATTGGAAATCCCAATTCCTTTTATCCTGTCTATGTACCAAAATCTTGAGTGACGTCAACAAGATTCTTGATTTCCATGAGAGAATGGAATTGGGGATTCCGGGTTCCCCTCGGATTCCATCTTTACCCCATCTTCTTTCATCTTTTCTCAAGCATCATATCTCAACCCCAAATGAAGTAGATGAAATCAAGAATCTTTCTCTATCGGATTTTGAAGAAGAAGAACAAGAATATGACGAATTACCTCCTATACGAATCTTGACAAAATCCCAATTCAAAAAATTAACAAATTCCCAAAAAAACGACTACCTCGATGAGCTGGATTATCGCGAGACTCTCTATTTAAAAAAACAATTAAAAGAAGAGCTACAAAGAGAGAAAACAGATGACGGGTCCCCACCACCAGAGCCCGTGGTGTTACCGGATATGGCGGTCCCGCCTAGTTTCGACCCCGGTAACCCGCTGCATCGTTACCGGTGTCTCGTTAACTCCGACCGCTGGCTAACGAGACCGGTTCTCGACCCCCATGGGTGGGACCATGACGTGGGATTTGACGGAATTAACCTCGAGGGTCAAACTCAAGTGAACGAGAATTTACACATGTCGGTTACGGGACAGGTCAGCAAAGACAAACGGGAGTTTAACGTCCAGTCAGCGTGTTGTGCTGCTTACGTGGACCCCCGCGGGCCCACTTACGGCGCTGAGGTGGACGCTCAGTCTTCGGGAAAGGAGATGGTTTACACGGTTCATGGTAGCGCGAAGGTGGGGGTTTTGGGAAGAAATGTGACGGAATGTGGGGTTTCGTTGATGTCGTTTGGGGGGAATTGTTATTCGGGTGTGAAGGTTGAAGATGGGTTGTGGGTTGGGAAGAGGGTGAAGTTTGTGGTGAATGGTGGCCGGATGGGAGGTGGTGGAGGGGCGGCTTATGGCGGAAGTTTGAAAGGGGTGGTGAGAGGGAGGGATTATCCGGTGCGAAATGACGAGGTTAGCCTTATGGTGACGGCGTTGTCGATGGGTAAGGAGGTGGTGGTGGGTGGGAATTTGGAGGCGGAGTTTAGGGTGGGGCGAGGGACGAATTTGTCTGTAAATGCTAGTTTGAACAACCGAAACATGGGACAGTTGTCGATTAAAACAAGTAGCTCTGAACATTTAGAAATAGCTTTGATTGCAGGTGTCTCGATTTTTAGGGTTCTTTTGAGGCGTATGGGATTGGTTGGTACACATAAAGATATGCCCCAGTCATCTGATATCAGCTGAGCTGACTCGGGCATATGTATACCGGAGCAGTGACAGTGAGTGACAGTGACCGACACTGTCACTGCTCCGGTATGATACAATACAGTTCCATTTTTGAGTTTTTTGAGGTTTAGTGTTTACTATAAGGATGAAAGATTTGAGATTGTTTGTATCAAGTCAAATAATTGTAAATGATTATTGTAAGAGAGAGTTTATCTAGGAATTTTTATCTGTTGCTATTTGGTTCTTATGACCATCTTTTTGACTATTTACATAAAATCACTGCCGGATTGCAAAATTGCTTTTTGAAATAGTTCATACATAGAAAACTCAGTTTTTCCTTTTTGAAAAAAATCATGGATTGTGTAATATATAAATGTATGTTGCAAGAGAAATTAAATTGTCTATTTATGCTTACAAATATTCTTACCAATTAAAATTATGTCAAAGTGTTGTCATTTTATCATATTTTTTTAATTATCGCATTCACTGCATATTAGGGATATCAAATAAAATTAAATTAAATTGAATTGAACGGTGGAATGATAACATTTGTCCATGGATAAAAATATTTCTAATGTTACAAATGTGTTTGTATGTTATCCATTTTTGTGATTTATCACAAACTTTTGTGTTAGTTTTAGAACTAGATATATATTTTCATTTATTTGTTTATTAGTGTATCATAATTTTTTTTCTTATAAATTGTACTTATAGTTTAGAAGATTGTACTTTAAAAATCTATTTTTATTGACAGTAAATATTGTTTTATATTTGGGCAAATTGTTGTGGTTAAGTGTAACGATAAATTTCGTGGCTTGATTATGTCACTTTTTGTTTGTGCAAGCTACCCAGAACTTTCTCTTAAAAAAACTATATAAGGGTATTTCTCAATTCTCACCCTCCTTATCTGGTTAAGGGCACACATACACAATCAAATCCACATATTGCTTTAGAAAATCGAGAAAAACAACACACTATATTGGTTTTTGTAAATTTTTGATGTCGCATCAACAAGAATAGTACATACTCTCGTAAAAAAGGCCAAGGGGACAGTTTGCTTATAATCTGTCTCTGTAAATGTACATAACCCATAACCAACCAAAGGTAAAACTTGATTAGTACCAACCAATACCACCAAAACAAACGGCCAACTATATTCAGGTTCAAGTGTTGTTGCAACATCTCATAAAAAAAAACACAACACCCGACTTGACCACATACAAAATCCAACACAAAAACCACATACATTATATAGTTGGAAACAAAAGAAAAGAAAATCAGATTTTGTCAGTTGCTTTATAAAAAAGCATTTTCTGAACATAAAACATCATATACCCTTGAACACCCCTGACAATACTCTCGTTAACCCTAGTCACCCAACAATCATCACACTTATACCACTCATTACTCAACCTCAAATACGTCACATAATGTCCCGCATCAAGTTTCCCCGTATGTGTCACAACCGCAAACAACTCAAACTCAGAACTGAAATCCTGTTCCTCATTCTCATTCCCATTCCCATTCCCATCAAACGCAAATATCCGGTTTCCAAATCTACCCCTCAAAATAGACGAAGACAAATACGGAGACATGTCTAAAGAAAACGGGAACTGCATATACCTGTCGACTTTTCGCGACAGTTTTTTAACAGGAGAGTGTTCGAATCTTTTTATGTGGAAACACGAGACTAATGGGAGTTTTCTTATGGACATTTGTTTTAAGGATTCTTGTCGGATTTTACATCGTTGGCAGAAGAATTTCTGGTCTGAATCCGATCCTAACCGTTCTGGTCGCGTGAACCGGTCTAGACAACCGATTAGTGTTGGTGTTAGTTGGGAGTCTGTCTTTGTTTTTGTTTTTGTTCCGGAAGGTTCCGGAGGGATGAGATCCAGTGAGATGTCTATGCATGGGTCGTATGTGGTGGAGGTGAACCCACATGCCGTGCACATGACATCCGAACGTAGGATTCCCGAGAATACACGATGCGCGATACAGCACTCTCCACTACCTATAACAAAACAAAAATAAAAAGAGTTAAAACTTAAAAGCAAGAAATAGCATCCTACTTTCATTTCTTTTTATTATACTTGAAATCTACATAATTGACAATATGAAGCAATGTTTTGAAAATTATTATTGAGAAAGTTGATTACCAGTATAGGAAGTTGCTGGTTAAGTTAGCTTTCACATCCACTAATCCTGAAAAGTGAAAACTAGGATTTTTGTGCCACATCTCTATGTAGGAAGTTTTTTTTTTTTTTTTACAAAAGGAGTTGTCATCTAGTGGAAACCTTGAAGTTGAACTCCCTCCAGGCTCCAGCTAATCTGTATCAAAAGATAAAAGATCCTATCAATGGCCAGCTGGGATTATAAA